GTTTTATCCGACAATCTAGCGTTGGGGCGCTCCGACACCTTATGGAGTCGAACTGGAGGATCGACCGGTTCCCTTTGTGCCTACCCGCCTGCCTCCAAGCGAACCCCTTGAGAGTGCTCTAGAACAAGTGAACACCAGTGCATTTACCTGTATGACCTTCCCCCTGCCGAGACCTGCTCAGGTACCTTCTGAGACGCTTTATTTTCAGTTGCCTGCACCACGTGTGTGTGCGTGTGCCCATTTATCTCCCCTTCTTTTCTCGCTTGTAGAGTGTTGTGGACGACATGTCAAAGGCAGATGAAGCAATCGGCTATGAGCAATATGCTCACGAAAATGGCTTCGTTATAAAACAAGGCGATTGTCTTTTTGTTGCTCCCCCATCTGGTTCGAGCGAGAAGCAGATCGTGCGAATCGACAGGATTACCAAAAATACAAGGTGTGTTTTGGATTTTACAATATCCTTCTTGAATGCTGCTAAAACTTGGCCTATTTCCCGTGTTTTGGACGCCTTAGGCGTTCCATTTTCATTAGTCTTGTCAGCCTGACTAACACCGTATTTTCGAACGATTTATTTTGCTAAAGATCCACACTGCTACAGTATAGGCTCTGGCCCATTTGCAATTCATTCATGTGTATTCCACTCTGTACTACTATTACTACTACCACTAATAATAATAATAATAATAATAACAGTAATAATACTTACTATTTACTACTCTTTTACCTCCCTTACCCTTGGCTAATTTGTGACCAAGAATGTTTACTCTTCAATTCATCTCCTATCAAAGTGCATGCTGATGCATATCCGCCTACGCCTTATTTTAAGTGTTGATGCTCTACTTAGCTCATATTTGGGAATTACTGTTTGAAAAGCCAAGGCAGTTTGACCTGACTGTATTTTAGGATTATTCACTGCCGTCAACCATCACCCCCTTGTCTGAGAAAATTTCAGCTTTGAATCCGGGATCAGCCAGTCCCTTGACCTAGCCAATACGGGCTAACTTACATGTTCTTGTTTGTTAGGTCAAGTAATAAAGGTGGTCCCGCGCACAATTCGTGGAAGTTTAAGTATTTCCCTGTCCTAACCTTCACTCTAGTCCTTGTGTAAATCTAAATCGTAGACCTTATCTTAGCGCTGCATCTACCCTAGCCCTGCTTTTCCCCGGAATTTGGCGCAAACCGGAGCTTCCTGTCCTATTTAGGGCGTCATACAAGTCATTCTTACCACGAGTAGTCAGCTATCGTCAGAGCTGAAGTTTAAATCTATGATTTTTCAAGTTGAATTACATTTTTTTTCTAAACAGTTTTATAGCTTTTTTGTCAAGATTAACCACGTTTCAAATCCCTTTGCGTGAAACCAAACTTACATTTTCAGTCGGCTTTTTGTTTAGATGCTTTTATTTAAGAAAACTTGTTTAAATTCACTACTTCTCCTCTCCCTCCCACCCTAGCGACGACACGGTGTACTTCACGGGCGTCGTCATGGTCAGCCCAGCAGAAGTGGATCACCCCCCGACACGCCTCTTCTACCCGCGTGAGGTCTGTATGACTAACAACGAGAAGGCCACCTTCCCCCTGTCAGCCGCCTTGGGCAAGTGCTTTGTCATGCGGCCGGGTGACTTCTGCATAGGTAAGCGATCAACGCAGACCAACGCCCCTCTTCGCCTGAGGTCATTT